TTCACGCGGTCGAGTGCTGTGTTAGTCGATACACGACTAAGTGCTTCAGACGAGACACGAGAGTTACACGTAGGGACTCAGTGATACTCTTATGATTGTAGGTAACACGGAAGAGACGACCAAACATATCGCAGGGTGAAGAGAGTTGTGTGGTGCGGTCGTACGAACTACACGGAGAGAGAGACAGAGAGAGAGAGACAGAGCGAGGGTGAATGAGGGAGAGAGAGGGAGAGAGAGAGAGAGAGAGAGAGAGAGATAGACATAGAGCCAGAGAGAGACAGACAGACAGACACATACAGACAGACATAGATACAAAGAGAAATAAATCCCTCACACAGACACACGTCCAATGCACACTCCAAAAATACACTCCAATAACAAAGCGAAGCCCTATGGAGCGTCGAAGAAGACGTGCAGCTTTCTCTGCAGCCCACAAAATCTTTCCCACCTTTTATTTGCACTACAAGGGGGCCTGATTAAGAGAAAAGGAGGACTTACATGGATAAGCTCAGCACCTAAGGCCGCATGAACCCTGTGCATTGCAGAGCCAAGACATTTCACCAGAGGCCAACTCTGTCAGACAAACGCGACGCAGCACACCATGCACGACACGCAGAGGCTGAAAATCCTGGAAAAAAAGCCTCGTTCTTCGCGAACTACCAGCGCAGGCAGACAGGAGGGAGAAGAGTGGGTGCAGACCACTCGCTAGAGCGCTCTAGACAGCGATCCCTCGTGCACAGATGCTGCTAGCCGAGGCTGCAACACGCTTCAGATATGTGCTGCAGCAAAAACAACACCTCTCCCGCTTACCAAGTCCACGATGGCTAAGTCTTCACGACGGCTTGGGAGGCCAGCCGCGCAAGCTCGGCGTATCTAATTCCGCAACAGCAGAAAAAATATAACTACGCTAAAATCCTGCGCTCTTGATGATCCGTGAAAGTCGTTAATAGGCAGAGCAATCACACCTCCCACCAAAACTCAGCAAGATAGCTACATACATCACAGCCGAAAAAGCATGCGCGAACTACACACAACAAGGCCACCACCACCAACCCCACCCCTCTTGCCCCCTTCCCCGAGTGCCTTTAAAGCACGCGAGAGACGGCCGCACTACTCGAGCTCACATAGCGGCCTGCTATCGACTCCAGCTCCGCAACAGCCTCGGCTCCTTGCACTCTCTCTGCAGATCGCAGGCAAAAGGAGCGCATCTACAGAACAGCAGCGGCGATAGAACGAGAACAGATCCAACCCGCAGAAGTAAAACAAGCCAGCAAGAGGCGCAGGCTCGAGAAACTGCTCAAGTAGCGGCAAGGACTATTGTCAGCTCCGAGAAGCAATAGCAATCAAGAAATCCGCATCCACATTTTACGCGGGGGAAGAGAAGGTGGGAGGAGGAATAATTCGATCTGTGCGCCGATAAAAGGATTGCAGCTCGAAGAGTGAAGCGAGCGACAGCCTGGAGACGCGTCCTACATACATATAAATATCACGGAGCACCTAAATATGCCAACGGGGAGGGGACCGCTAACCTGGAATTTTTTGCAGCGTTGCTTCAAGCTCCTCTAGATGCGAGAGCTGCTGCTGCTCCAGCATCACTCGCAGCTGCAAAAGATCGAAAATCGCATGCAGTAACACGCAAACAAACGCCGTGTCAAAGACAAGAAGATGCAGTGACAACCGCCAAGCCAATGCAGTAATACACGCGCTTCGACAGGCAACGTTCTCCAAAATTAGCCACACAAAGACAGCCGCGAACGGCCTTAAGAGTTCTTGCTCTTTTGCGTGTTGCTGTCGATACAGCTGTTCATCTTGCATGCTTACACGCGGCCTGAAAGCTCTCCAGCCTCGAGGATCTATGAGTGCTTCGTCTTCTTCGTCATCCTCGCCAGACACCCCTCCGTCAGAGCTGATGCCCACCCTCACACAAATCCACCAAAAATCTCCCATAAGCACTCTCAATCACCTTATCCGCAGCAGCATTCCCGCTGGTGTGTATTGTGTGTATATAATGTGTGTGTAAATTGTGTGTGTATTCTGTGCATATAACGTGTGTGTATTGTGTATTGTGTTTGTATGTTGTGTGCGTATTGTGTGTATTATGTGTATATTGCGTGTGTTTGCGTGTATATTGTGTGTGTATTGCGTGTATTATGTGTATATTATGTGTGTATATTGTGTGTATATATTATGTGTGTATATTGTGTGTATATTATGTGTATAACATGTGTGTATATTGTCTGTGTATTGCGTGTGTATTGTGTATATATTGTGTGTATATTATGTGTGTATATTGGGTGTATTGTGTGTTGCCTCTCATCGGCAACAGTGCGCCGCCTCTCGTATTGACAGATTACCCCGCGCTCTCTCTCTCTCTTCCTCTCTCTGCGGTGCCTCTGTGGATGTGTTAAAGCCTAGTTCTCCCTCGTTCTTACTCTGATGCCTCAGCTGGCAGAATCTCCCTTCTGCAGACAAAGGCCCCTCTATCGAGGCTCTCCTTGGAGCGTCCCTCCTCCTCGTCCCCGTCTTCGGAAGAGCTGGAGGCGAAATCTGAATTTGGATCCAAGCCGAATTCGCCAAACTGCGCATGGTAGCAGCAATCACAGAGAGCGCGACAGACAGTCTGACAGAGGCGAGGCGGCCTTGCAATGCAACGAGAAAACACGCGCGCAAAAAGGCTTCTTTCGACACAGCGTTGAGTAAACGTTTCCGCGGGAAGGCGCCTTCTACGCGAACGTCCAAAAAAGACAAATGAGGGCCTAGAACTCCGCAGGAGAGGTCATTGGTTACAGCGAAAACAAATGCAGAAAAAGCAGTTTTCTTTTTTAAACTGCATGGCGGTAGAAGCGCGCTTTCATACCATTTCCGTATCGTCAATAAAGGCGTCATCCTTGTCGTAATAGTCGCCCTTATCGCCTCCCCCGCAGCGAAGGATATCCCGAGGATTTGCCAGCAAGCGCTGGCATTCAAGACGCCTCTCTAAGTCGTGAAGGACCATATCCAGACGGCTTGGCCGCCACTGAAGCGTCTCGCAGCAAGAACAGACACGAGGAAGCGATAAAAGTGGAAGGGAAAGGGGGAGAGAGGGGTGGGGGAATTCTCTCGCAGAGCCGAGCACAGGGAGGCGAACGCAGCTGCAGTGAAGACGGCGGGGAGGCGCATCTTCCAACAGAGAGCGGCACACAAAATGAATAAGAAGAGCGAAAAAGAGCAAGAGAAAAAGAGAGAAACAGAATGAGAGAAAGAGAGAGAGCCGGTGTAGGCAAAGACAGAAAAGACAACACATCACTCAAAGGGCTTCCAATAGAACAGGTGTCAATAAGGCTTCACGACAACAGTAGAGGCCTCCAGAATGAGGAGCCTTTTCTCTCCTGCCTCCCTCACGAAAAGCACCCCTCCCTGTAGCGTGTATTGACGTACCAGACCGCCAGCAGCAAATTTGTCGCGCGACGGTTCTCCGGGTGTCTCTACACCTCGGGGGACAGTGTCGCCCTCTAAGTCTGGTCGCTGTTGTTTTTGGGTAAAGCCGTCTTCGGCATTTCGCCTTTCTGAACAGCCAAGAGGAGCAACAACGCTTCAAGGCAAGAGGCTTCCCCATGTGTCTCTCTAGACTTCCGAAGCACAGCTTTGCAAGCTCTGGAGAGGCGAAGGGGGAAAGGGAAAAGAGGAAAAACGAAGACGCGCAGCAAAAGCGAAAGCATGCTGTAAGACAGAGAAGGAGGGCCATGGCAGAAAGTTTGCCGCAAGCGCGTGGGTGCTCCCCCAGGCAGCGCGTGCATGCATGTGCTTGTGTGATACAAATTCCGCTTGCTCTGTGTATGTCTATGTACATCTATGGATGTATATACAAACCTGCAGCAGCTTCTTCTTGCAGCAGCGCCAGCTGCTTTTCTTGCTGCTTCGTTAGAGGCCGCGACGAATCAAAGAACTCCTGCTGTAGCAACACCGCGGGAGGTCTTTTTTCGCGAATGTTTTCAGCCCCATAGGCTGCAGCAGCAGCAGCAGCGAAGTCTAACATCAGCGGCAGCCTGCATTGAAAGCATAACCAGCATCGGGAACACTGCACTCCTTCTACCTAATCGCGAAAGTAGTAGCACTCCATATGCAGCAGCAACAGAGAGGCGTCTCTTTCTTTTAGCAGCAGCAACAGAGAGGCTTCTCTTGCTTTCTGCAGCAGCAACAGAGAGGCGTCTCTCTCTTTTTGCAGCAGCAACAGAGAGGCTTCTCTCTCTTTTTGCAGCAGCAACAGAGAGGCGTCTCTTTCTTTTTGCAGCAACAACAGAGAGGCTTCTCTCTCTTTTTGCAGCAGCAACAGAGAGGCTTCTCTTTCTTTTTGCAGCAGCAACAGAGAGGCTTCTCTTGCTTTTTGCAGCAGCAACAGAGATGAAAAGTGTCAGCGGATTCCGTTCTTGGCGAGGCTGCAACTCCAGCGCGGCAAGCGCAGGGTAGGAAGTTCACATGCCCTCCACCAGCACACCTGTTGCGATCATCGCGGATATCTTGAGAGGAAGAACTGCCATCGGCAGCGCTGAATGCAGCCTCTGAAACCTCCACCCACAGGCCAGGGAGCATCCTGCATGGCAAGACATGAACAACAACAACGACTCAACGAACCACGAGATGGCAATGGACAGCCAGCAACACAACACCGCATGAATTTAGCTCCACATTCACACATACATACACATAAACACAAACATACACATAAATACATACATACACATGAAAACATACATGCACATAAACACATACATGCACATAAACACATACATGCACATAAACACATACATACACATGAATACATACATACACATAAATGCATACATGCACATAAACACATACATGCACATAAACACATACATGCACATAAATGCATACATGCACATAAATACATACATGCACATAAACACATACATGCACACACATACATGCACATAAATACAAACACTCACATAAATACATACATACACATAAATACATACATACACACATAAATACATACATGCACATAAACACATACATGCACATAAACACATACATCCACATAAATACAAACATACACATGAATACATACATGCACATAAACACATACATGCACATAAACACATACATACACATAAATGCATACATACACATAAATACAAACATACACATGAATACATACATACACATAAATACATACATACACATAAATACATACATGCACATAAACACATACATGCACATAAATACATACATGCACATAAACACATACATGCACATAAACACATACATACACATGAATACATACATACACATAAATACATACATGCACATAAACACATACATACACATGAATACATACATGCACATAAACACATACATGCACATAAACACATACATACACACACATACATGCACATAAACACATACATACACATAAATACATACATGCACATAAATACAAACACACACATAAATACATACATACACACATAAATACACATCCGTCAACAGCTGCATCGCAGAGAACCGCATGGATAGAGAGAAAGGCGGGATTGCAAAGGGAGGCAGCCGCACGGAAGCTCCTCACAGAGATGCGAGGCACAGAGCATTTGCACAAAAAGCAAGAGAGACAAAAAGCAAGGCATTCCAAAGGAAGAAGGAGGGAGAAAGGGGGGAGGCAACATCGACGCTAAACTCCCTTCATAGCGATACTCAAAGAAGGGCAGCAGGAGGCGCTGGAAAGGCTTAAAGGCACCGCATGCCACCAAGTGGAGAAACAGAAGAGCTAAAAGGCATTCGAGTGGGGCACAATTAAGCAGCCACACGGATCGAACCTTGTTGGGGAGCCACATCCTACCTGAAAGCTTCGTATTTCGATTTCTGCTGAAATCCTTTCGTGCAGCCTTCCGCTGTTTCGTCACTTGTGTCATAAACTTCCGCATCATCTTCATCATCTGTGTCGCTATCCCCTGCCGCGAAGGGCACAGTCAGTGCTCCTGTGCGACTCCTAGAGCTTTTGGCAGTAGCCGTGGAAGCCGTTTCGCCCTTCTCAGATGCAGCAGCAGCAGCAGCAGCTGCTGCTGCTGCTGCTGCTAAGCGGCTGCTGCCACGCTGTGGGCGGCGCTGCTGTTGCTGCCTTTGCCGTGTTGACTTTGTCTGGGAAGCCGTCGATAGTGCCTGCTGCTGCTGCTGCTGCTCTTCATCCTGCTGCTGCGGCTCTTCATCCTGCTGCTGCGGCTCTTCATCCTGCTGCTGCTGCTGGTGCCGTTGCAAGAGAAGCCTTAACAGATTTTCTTGGGGCATGAGGCTTTCTTCGCTGCTGTTGTTGGCGGTGGTAACGCTGTTGTTGGTGCCGCTGCTGCTTCTGCTCAGCGCAGCAGCAGCAGCAGCGGCAGCGGCAGCGTTACCATCCAAGTCTTCGCATCTGAGCGCCTCTGCCTCCGCTGCTGATGCAGCTCGGATAGCAGTTGCGGCAGCTGCTTCTGAGGCTTCAGAGGGAGCAAAAGCCTCGACACCTGATGCGGCGGGGAGGGAGGAGGCGCGAGCAGTAGTTTGTGTCTCTCTTTCGCTGGGGGAAGATCTGGTGCTTGTTGGCTTCAACCCGTCGAATGGGGGAGACGACTCCTGAGACGCGGACTGAGGGGAGGGGCCTCGAAGGTGTGCCGCTTGGTGGTGAAGCATTTGTGAGTGGCAGGGAGAATTCCCAGTGGAAACATCGCTGCTGGAGTCGGTAGTATCCAGCATGGCCTGAGCGTTCGTGCGGGGTGCTGTGTTTGCTGTTGTTGCCGCTGCTGCATCTTGCTGCTGTTGGTCATGCTGCTGCTGCGCCTGCATCTGCTGCAGCTGAGGCAGCAGCAAAAGGTCTCGCCCGGTTGCGTGCTGCATCGCAGCTGCTGCTGGGGTCTGTCGTCTTGCTTCGCATGCCCGTCTTGTTGCTGCCCTAGCACCTGCAGAACCTCCCACGCGTGGGGCGCTCTCCCTTGCAGCAGCAGGAGCAGCAGCAGCAAGGTTCTGCCTTTGTCCACCGAGCTCGCAAAGGCGTCACTGCCAATCCTCTTGAGCCGCGTAAAGACTCTTTGCAGGGCCTGTGGGGGCAGGGGCCTCCCCGGGAAAACTTCCCCAGTGACGCCGACGCCTTATCCTGCAACTCGACGTTCTTCCCCGGCTCAAACCCACAAGGCAAATGCTAAATCGCACGCAGATGTCTCAGAATGCAGCAAAAAAAGGGGGCATCTTCGGAGGAAGCTAGGGAACGGGGCCTCTTGAGGTGCTCCCACCATGGAGGCACGCGGCGGGGCCCCCCGTCGCCCGCAGGGGGGCCCCTGGGGAGCCTCCCTTCTGTGGAAATGCCCATTTTGGAAAAGCGACATGCAAGCCGGTCGATGAAAAAGCATTTTACTGGACTTGCTTTTTGCTTGGTCTCGATGGTAGAGGGGCCTTTAGACCTCTGGGCGTGTGCGCTGCCCCGAGCTGTACGTACACCAGAGGGCCCCCCGGAAACTCGCGGGTTTCCATAGGCTCTGAAGGCCCTAAGATGCAGCAAGGGCCTTCATTGAATGAAAATAAAGCTTAAAAATGCACAGCTAGGCTTATTCAAGACGACTTCTCATCAGAATATTTGCTTCAGGGGCGGCTGCTGACTAGGATGGAAGTGACCCTGTTCAGGAGAGAAACCCCAAGCGACAGCCAGACCCCAGTTCGGGGCCTCCCTAAGGACAGCCTTTAGACAGGTGCACAGAGAGAATATTTGCAAGATTCGCATTAGAATGCAGGATATGTTCGCTCTCCTGCCTTTTGCGAACGGGTCAGAGGGGCCCCAACCTGAACAAGAAAGCAGTGCTACCCTCCCCGAAAGCCCCATCCAACGACTGCCCCCCTCTTTCGGGGGCAGCGACGCACAGAAGATAGCTGAAAAAAGGGGACTTGAGGGGCATCCAGGGGAGCCGAGGAAAGACCCCGACATGGATGACTCAAAGGAGCCGCTTTGGGGCATAATTAGAGAGGAGCAGGCAGGGGGGGAAACGAACAGTGAAATACCCAAGCTTGAGAACCCACAGGGAGATAAGGGAGCGGGGGTCCTGCAGGAGGCAGCTGGTGAGGCCCTTGCAGCAGCAGCTGAAGCATCGGCCGCTGTTGCAGCCTTGCGGGAATGGCGACGACAGCAGCAGGATCTTCAGCAGCAGTTGCTGCAACGTGCAAATACCAGCTATGAGTCTGAAAGCTCTGTAGCCCCCGATCACAATAGTCCCCTGCTGACGCAGATTGATGCCCTCTCCGACGCTCTCTTAGGGGCCTCCTCTGCCTTGGCAGAAGGGGCCCCTGCCGTGGACAGTCTTGTCAGCCGCGTTACTGCGACGCAGCAGCGGGGCAGTTGCATACTTGAACTGCTATCTGTAAGTGCCACGCTGTCATCCTTGAGCCTTTTGGCGTACTCAGGACCCCCTCTCCTACTAATATCAATGCAGGCACAACAGTTCTGGGTGCTGCGCAGGAGGGAAGCAGCAGTGCAACAGCAGTAGCTGCTGCAAACAGAGTGCATGCACACCTCAGCCAACAACAGGAGAGACTCTCTGGCATCCCGCGGACCCCCCAACTGCAGGCAGAGCTTGCTGTCTTGGAAGCTCGTATAGCGGCAACAACGACTGCAGGTGCCACACAATCCTTAGGGCATTCATTAATTGAGTCGTTATGACAGCATCGGGAGCCGCTAGCGCACGATGTATGCCCTGCAGCACGTGTAGACGCTACTCTAGTGTAACCCCCCTACATGACTAAGCGCTGCTGCTTGCGAACGAATCCATGCAGAGGCGCAAGTTGCTGCTGACACTACGGATGCGACGGGGACCTTAGGTGTGCTGCTGCAGCAAACGGCAAGTCTGCTAGCTTTGCAAGGGGCGCAACAGCAAAAGAAGGAAAGCCGATACACGAATGGCAGAACTTAAAAACGGTAGCAGCTGCACCTGCCACCCCTCCTAATGCCAGCACGAAGACACGCAGTCGACTCTGTAGTGCATGCGCCTGTTGTTCTACAGTACATTGGAGCGCCTCTCCCCGGCCTCTTTTCAGAGAGTCTCCCACCATCAGGCAGCTCATGTATAGAGACTGCAGAAGAATGTGTTGCTGCGGGTGCGTTCCGCTCTCTTCAACGCAGCGTAGACAGCTCAGTCAAGGTACCGCCGTGCTGCAATAGTTTGTTGAAGAGTCTTTTAGAGCTGAAGAAGGAGGTCGATGAGGCCCTTAGTGTCTCTCTTGAGGTGTGGCCCTCCCTCCCCAAGCCGACGAGGGGCCCTCCCTTTTTCTGACGCGCAGCGTTTGTAGGCGTCGAGCCAGAGACATGACTGCCTCACAGCATGCTAAGGCATTACCCAGTAGGGTGCTCTTTCTAGATTTGCCTCGAACTGTGCGAAAGGCCAAGCCTTCGGAGACTACGATTTATACGAGCCTCACGTTCTACTTGCCCCCTATATATTTGCCCCCCTGTCCTTCACAGCTATACCTCTGCCTGCCTTTCGCTGATTCCCTTCAAAATCCCTCTCTGCCCAGGGCGAATCTAAATGCCGAGACACCACGTCGTGCAACCACTGAAGGAGTGGGGAAGATGCCCTTCAGGCAAGGCCCCTTAAACGAATAAAAAATATAGGCCGCCTAAACCACCAGCCGCAACGGCTGATGATGCCAAAACACTGTCTGCTGAGGCCTACAGAGAATCGCAGCAGCAACGTGATACACTCCGGGAGCACAGGGGATCAGAGAAAGCCTGTGGCAGAGGACAGCGCCTTTGTTCTCCATGCTGTCGAAAAGCGACGAACTTTTAAGAGCCCGCCGACACGCAAGGCTTGAGGGGTCTCTGGAGGAGGAAGCGGCAGCGGCAGAAAGGAGATTTTCACCCTCAAACGAATGGGAAGAAGAGCTTGCGAGAGCCTTCCGCGCTCTCCGCTGCTGTCGAACGAGCCGGGATGGAAGGAGTGGTTCTTTCATCTGTGCGATGAGCGGCCCTGACCACAAGAGGCCATCTGTGATTTCCTCGCTACCGTGAGAAAAGGGGATCAACAAGACACAGCAGCCTTCAAGAGGAACGCTCGTTCTGTTTTCCGCAAATACGTGCAGCGTGGCCGCCTCTGCAACAGACGCCTGAGGGAGCAGCGCACATACAGCAGAATCGGCAGCAGCAACTGCAGCGCTGGTGGGAGGGAGGGGCCACACCTGCAGCCTAGCTGCAACGCCTCCCCTTCTAGCAACGAGAAAACACACGCAAAACTCACAGTGAAACAGTCGGCGGTGCGAGCAGGGAGGCCCCTGGGCCTCATACCACCCGAGGGGGCCCCCGGGTCGAGCGTAGCGGGAAGGGAATCCCCAGAGACTCTCCTTGTCTGTACACCTGCGGCAACGACTCCCTTCCCCACGAGCCGCAAATGCAGCAGCACCTGAAATGCAACGATTCGCAAGCAAAAGACGGAGCAACACGCAGACACCGACGGTTTCAAACAGCAAGAATGCGAAGGGTCGTCTAGGCGAAAACGCATCAGAACATCGCTGTACATACACAAAGGAGGCTCTCTCTCGCTATCGCTATATATAGATCTATGTATATATATATGTACATCTATATATGTACACGCATCCCCCCTTTAGGGCGGATTTTTATAGCTGCGGGCAAACGCTCCCCATAAGGCGAGACGCAGACTTTGGTAAAAGTCTAAGCTACGCCTCACGCAAGACTAGACGCGTTACGCAAGTACTGCCGCTACCCACAAGGGCCCCCCATGAAACAGCACTTGGTGTTGATTCATGTACGCTGCCGCCTTTACAGAGAAAGAGAAAGAGAGAAAGACATACACCAAGAAGGAGCTTCGTTTAGCTCCACATTTCGCATGCCAGCGCGGCAGGGCTCTCTCTCTCTGTCTCTCTCTCTCTGTCTCTCTCTCTCTGTCTCTCCCTCTCTCTCTCTCTCTTTTTCTCTTTCTCCCTCTTCCTCCTCTCCCTTTTCTCAACCTATCTTCTCTCCTACTCTCTCCTTTCGTTCTCTCTCTCCTTAGCCCACACCCTACCCTCTCAACATTCTAGTCCCCCTCTCTCTTGCTCTCCTACTCTTCCTTCATGTTCTC